ATTACAGTATTGTGCCAAAATCTTTGGAGGAAAGAAAATGTAGTGACAAGAATTATCAGTACATTTTTACATTAGATTTCCTGAATCAGCCATCCACTATCCAAATCAAATTATCTAAAAATTGGTAAAGCAAATGCCAGCTTTTTTTAAGGTATTTTTAATTATTTTATGAGGAATTAGGTAATAATATGTTAATACATAAGCAGGTGACAGAAGTATCACATTTGAGGTCTGCATCTCCATCTCTTTTTGATGCAACGACGTTGTATTGTGATGCCTCACTGTCTACAGGAATCTATCCTTTTTGTGATTTTTACCCATAAAAAACGCTGCAACTTGTTCTTAGAAAAGAAATTTTGCGACATGCAAAACCTCAAAACCTGCATGTAAATATGATTAGGAAACCGAACTATCCAAATAGTTATCCCTGAATATCATCGCCCTTAGTGTAGATCATTATAGTTGAAAAAATTATATTTACCTACATGTCTATTTATTGTATTAACTATATATCAATATAACATATTTGAAAAATATAATAATAATGCTACGGATTTGGTATTTAAGTAGCTAATGTTAGTAGAATTATAAATTAAATTGTTTTATATTCCCTGTGCAGTGTAGCACATGAATAATATTAAGAGAAAGCTAAGCTGGAATATTAAAAATACAAGAGCATGTGCTTTTTAACATTTAATAAATAAATATCTCTTTTTGATTTCGAGAAAATACCAGAGAATTCTCGTGCATTTTAAAAGCTTATATAAGCAGCATGTAAACTTCTCAATTCGTTAATAGTTGTTTTATGAGTTTTGTTTAGAAACTGCTGATGTTTACTGTAGCGAATTCACAGATTAGCTTTCTATGTTTTGAATTCAGTTCTGTTGAACGTTTGAGTAGTTTAAAAGATAACTGTGAAGATAAAGATACTGTGAGATATTGTAGTATTGTACGCATTTCTGTGGAAATTTAAGCATTTTATTTTATTTGTTGTGACAATAATAAATTTTTATTCATATTATCAGACTTGTGCATTCAATTTAATATGAACCCCTATGCACGCAACAATAATTAATTTTGAAAGTCACAGATACGATTTTATGTTGATAGCAGATATTAGATTTATGATGTTTAAGATATTTAGTCCTTGTATTTTTCAAGGTTTACCACACTTGACATCATCTATTAGATCTATACAAAAAAGGTATGTACAGAGAAGACATGTTGAAGAAGTGTAATGATTAAAATGCATGAATCTCCTTCACAGAAGCAAAACCTGCAACATTATTGCGGTTCATTGCAACAAACTAAAAGCACCAACACCATTATAAGAAAGTCAAAGATTTTTCATAAAAGTGCCTTTATGCAAGGGAAGTGATTCTGCATTAAGGTATCCTAGAAGTATTTCATTTTTCATGCTTAATTAATCAATCTGTAGATCAAATGAAAATCAGACTTGCATAGTGATGTCTTCTAATAAACATGTTGGCAGCTTTGTGGAGGTTGCTTTCTTCAGCCTACAAACTGACTTATACAAACATGCAGGAATTTTTATAAGGGTTTCTGCCTCTTTTCAGCAGTAGCAGATTTGCATAAAAGTGTTCACATCTTTATGAAAGCAGTCTTTAACAGAAAAAGCAATTTTCATATTTCCAATAGAAAGGTACTAGTATCTTAATGATGGAGTGCTATACTGTAAGTTGAAATTTCATTTTCTTTACTAATTAATTAACTAGAGGATGACATAAAATCACAGTACCTTTAAGAAAATACTCGATTTGCAGAAAGACTTCACCACTTTTACTATAAACCATAATTTTTCCAAGCAGCGCCAATACCTTTATATAGGCTGCATCAAGCTGCTAAAATTGTGAATAATTTTACAAAAAAGGGGCTCTACCAAAATTTAAAAATTGCCTTTCTTCTTTTATGAATATGCTGGGAAACTCAGTATTTCATAACCTATCACATCCCCCTGCACTAAATTTTTTGCTTTATTATGTATTTTAACAGATGAGACTTGTAAAAAATTATTGTTTAGATTTGGTGTTTTAAGAAATCAGTTTAGAATTTACACATAATGGTAATTTCAAATACATATTTTCTTTAAAATTAATCAAAATTTATGACTACAGATAAATATAGATTGAAAAGGCCAAATAAAAATGTCTCAATTAAAAACTTGATAGCAATTCTAATTTTTAACTGTGGATGAAGAAATTAAAATGAATTCTAATAAAACAAACCTAAAAAATCTTATTTCAGCATCTTTTAGGTCTACAAACTTTGATCACACATATCAAAATTATAGTAACATAATATATTATATAATTATTAACACATTATACAAAGATGTCAAAATAAAACTGGCCTGAAAAAATAATTGGAATCCTGACACAGAATGTATCCTTGCTCATGAACAGGAGAGTTTCCCTTTACAAAAAATGCTTAAAATGAGCACCGGTGATGTAAATGTAACCATCAATTGCTGTCACATGTCTGCACATGCTCAGCCTCGAGTTCTTACCTGTGTCATTACATTTGAGTGAATGAGAGGTGCACACGTTTAGTGACCGGTTGAATGCATAAAATGGTGCTCTTAATAAAGCTGTGTGTGTTCACTGTCAAGTATGCAAAGCATAATTCATGGAAAACTTGTGCAGAACTGTTTGCACAAGACTAAAAGAATGGACATGGTTTGGCAAAAGCATAGTCTTCAGTGCAAGAGTTACGGAGAAAATTTGGGCATGAAATGAGCTTTGTAGCAAATAAAAACCATAACTATCCCAAAAGAGTCTGAAAACCAGAAAGCATTCACCGAGTGAAGAAAAGCCTGGATCAAAGTCCAACAATAGTACAACTTTATCTGTGCAAGTAGGGATCACAAGATCATTCATTGTGTCAAAACATTATCAAAAGGGACCTGTATCCATATCCTTACAGATTCCAGACAAACTTGATGTGAACTCACATAACATGCACTATTACGCATGAGAAAATCGCCATCAGTATTTTGAAGAGCAGTTGCATGAACTTGGTGTTTGGTGAGTAATATCTGGATCCCACACTTTAACACGATTCTTTCACCAAACCCTTTATGTTGTCCAGAATCAGTTTAATCCATTTGTGGATCCCAGAAATGCAGTATTTGGTGAGGAAAGGACAACAGAAGAGGTAGAACAATCATCTGGCCCCCTCAATCGCCTGATCTCTCACTTTGTAATTTTTAACTGCGGGCCAAACTGTAGGGACAGGTGTACTCAAATAATCTTCAGTCACCAGAAGAGCTGCAACAGAACACTAAAAATGGTACTGTCGCTACCCTTCAGACAAAGCTGCTACATGTGTCTTTCAGTTTGATAAATCAAGCACAGCACTGCATCAATGTCAAAGGTGGCCTTTTACAGCGCTTTCTGTAATGGGAAGTTCTCCTGTTCATCAGAATGGGTCAATTCCGTAAATCTTATAAATATTTTCCGTGCCAGTTTTATTTTTCCCGCACTGTATATAATAATATAATATATATTGACCTCTAAGACAATTTTGATCTTCTGTAGATTGGTCACTTTAAGACAACTCATGCTCAGGACTGATGTTTGCTTAAAAAACTTCTTTAATAAATCTTCTAAATGGATTCTATATATTCTATGAATTAAAAACACATCTAGCAAACAATACAATTACAAAAGAACTTTGATAAGCTGAAATTTTTTACTACATATAGCAAAGTGTTTTAAACTAAAATAATGAAATATATTAAAAACTAATGTTAATTAAGTCATAATTTTTAACTTTAAAGATTCAGTAGGCTGAGCTTTTGTTGAATATCTGAAATTATTTTTTATTCCTGGATAAGCCTAATTAAAATTTCCTGTATTCTACGATATGTGCAAAAGGATTAAGCATATTTACTAAAACTAGAAAAATACTGAAGTGGAGAAACATTCTACTACTAACAATAAGAAATGCCATATTATAATTGAAATCAAGATGCAGATCAGTGGTGACCAAATGGTAAATCTCGGACCAAATCCGTTCACATCACTTTCTGCATCCCTGAGCAGGACAAATCAAATTTATTATCCCATGTTAATGCCAGTCTTAGGTACCACATTACAGAAGATTTAATAGCAAATTGTTGCAGTGGTGCTTCCAAAATTTGTGGATAGATATAACATATATAGTATAAAATAAAAATTGCTTTTATGACTTATGGAAGATACATGTACAAAATGGGTGATGAGAAATTCTTCCTCTCACTACATGAAGTTTGGTACATGGGTTTTGTATTGTAAAAAATAAGAATATTTCAAACAGGCTTAATTTAATTTAGCGGTCCTTCAATTCTTTCCTTTATTTTTTTGTTACAGCAACTTTGAAACATAATGAACCTTCTCTAAGAACACCCAATTCTTTCTTTTCTGTGCAAATGTACAGGTAACTTTCAGTACCAATGTTTATTCGCATTTCTAAAAGCATTGATAATTTTAAGATGTGTTTACAATGAAAAGGCTTATTTTACTTAGAAACTGCATTTCTAATTCAAAAGTTCACAGTTTGGAGGAGAATATATTAATTTTAATGTAAATCAGCACCAAAAGTTTTGTTACAAAATTTAAAATGCTAATAGAAGGACACTCTCATGAAATATTCAATACTAAAAATTAAACAGATGTGCGCACACATTGATGAGAAGCTAGCATAATCTATCTTAAACACTATGAATCAAAACATTTTTTGTAATAAATGTTGCCAAATTAACTAGTTTACCAAAAAAATATATGGCAAAGTTCGAAGCCCAACTTTGCTTATATTTTTTATTGCTTATATTAAAAAATATAAATTTTATCCATACTGAAAAAGAGAGCAGAATTACTTTGTTTAAAACTCTTATGGTTTTAAACACAACATAAATAAGTTTTAAATCACAACTATTTAAAGAAATGTGAAAGTTTTGTGCTTTGTTAATGTTTAATTAAATAAAACAAAAAACATTAAAAAAGTCTGCAATATTTACATACAGTTTATTTGAGTATTACTGTCAGCTTGTCATAGTCAAAATTACAGGGGGAGAAATTTTTATCTAGAGTCAGAAAAGTAAAATAAAACAAACCTTACATACAATCAAAACTAACATAAGCTGGTTGGATTACTTAAGACAAACATGGCCAAATATTGAGTATTCTGAGAGACTTAACATATTATCATATAATAAAAAAGTGCAGCAAGATGTTTAGTATTTACAGATGTATACATTTTGAACAACTTAATGGAAAACATTTCATTGGATGAAAAAATACACACGATAAGTATGCTTACACAAGAGCTAGAGGGGATAATGAAATAAATTACTAGAAAAATATTTTTGTCAGAGATATCAAACCATGGCAAAATAATGAGGTCAGATGGATAAAATATGCTCTTTTTTTCCCCTTTTATGTGAATTCAGAATGAGTAATTAGTACAACTTAAATAACACAAATGAAATGCAAAAAAATGATTCCACACATTCATCTCTAACAAAGAAAAACAAGATAATCTTTACAGTAATTTTCAAGCATATTTGACTGTTAATTTATACATTGTAAAGAATTAACTTTTAACCTTCATGTGGAAGTGTATCAACTGAAGCAGTCTGAAGGAGACTTTCAATATTAATTTGTCCATCTGCATCAACAGGCAACATAAGTTGTTGAGGTTCACCACTTTCATCTAAAGACATTGTTCCAGGATCTAATGCTAAAGTAATATTACCATCACCCGAATCCTCACCACCTAAGGTGAAACCTTGTGGTAATGTTAACACAGCATTCCCACTCTCATTGGAATTAATAGGAATAATCAGCATTTGATGACCTCCATCTGCAGTAGGTATCTTTAGAACAGCAGCACTTGTATATGACTGATCTCCGGGTATTTGAATAGGTACTTGTTGAGGTTCCCCATCCTGGTCATCAGATACCATCATAACAATTTGTGCATTTTGAGAATCTTCTCCTTCTAACTGTCCCAATTCCAGTTCTGGTTTCAGTGAGGTTTCACTTTCACTTTGTATGTTTTCACTGTTTGCATCATTTTTGTTTCTTCCAAGTGATATGTGAGCCACAAATTCCTCAGTTGCATCTGGTTGATTATGCTCGTTTTGAAAATCTAAATTGGACTGATTTTCCACTGGAAGGTGTTCTTCAACAGACACTAGAACTTGCTGATTGTCACTATCTACTGCAAATACAGACTGTTCAGAAGACTGCTGTGTCTCATCTTTTGTATGTTCAAGCAAATCTGTACATTCTGTTGCTTCCTGTACCATAGTGTTTTCTTCTCCATCCTTCTGAATCAAAATTGATTCACTTCCTTGCTCCCCTGAACACAATTCATTTGCCTGAATTTGAAGTCGTGCTTGCTCCACAGCTTCAACCAGTTGATGAGCAGACATAATAGAATTAGTATTCTCATCCTGAGTGAAAACTGCAGCAGCCTCTTCTGGGAGAACAGCTGATCCTGTAGAATCATCAAATTCAGGTATGCTTACAGATACAGCACCCCCTTCATCTAATTTGCCATTAGAAGCTATAGAAACAGTCACTTGTCCAGGGCCGCCTGACCCAGCAGCTTGTGCTACTGCTCTAACAAGCTGTTCTGTAAATTCATGTGATGTCAAGTTCAAGGAGTTAGCTAAAGTCTGTGTGACTAACTGATCAGTGACAATTGTATTATCTGCTCCACTGCCTGCAGTCTGAAGTATGATCTGATGATCTGATCCAAATACAGTTTGGCCTGAAGTGACAGCTGCTTGCCCTTGACTATCAGCTCTAAAATAAAAATTTTAATTTTGAATTTTATTAGCATGCAAATGATTTAAATAAATAATATAAAAATATCAATAAATTTTACAAATCACATATACTTAAAATGCCTCATTTACCTGTCTTCAATGGAAAACAAATCAACAGTAATAATATGTAAACATGCAGTTTGCAAATTCTTATGAACTGTCAACTGGTTTTGAATGAGGGAAACTTATATTAAATATTTCCTTTATGCTTAAATAAGAAAAATTAAATTTGTATTCCATAGTAGACCATACTTCAGTTTTATGTATATTAAAATTTAGTTATGTTTTATATCTCTCCCCTATTTACACTGTATATGCATGTACAGCCTAAATAGGAAATTCCATTTATCTCTAAACTGGTAAACAAAATCAGTTATAGTTATAAATATAATACTTAGCTATTAAGATTCATTGCAGCATCCCATACCAGTGAATTTCAGAACTTAATGATCATGTCTAAAAACTATCAGATATGCAGGAAAAAACATCAATTACAAATTTGTAGAGCATCATGGATTTAGTATCAAAAATATATTGTGAAAGAAGAAATGGTAAATAACTGCTTATACAGATTTAAGCATACAGAACCTATGTGTGACATTTTGTTCATGTAAAATTCTAAATTTCACTGAAAGCAGGAATTTCACTTTTTTAAATCTATGAAAGTCAAAAAAGTCTTTTTAAAGTCAAAAAATTATCATACATAATCATGACACTCAGATTATGATTTCATTATTAAAACAGCAAATAAAAATTAAAAAAGCAACTTCACTGTTAACAGATCTAGACACTGTGGGTAGAAATGCTATTTTCACTCATAAGCAATATTGCGAGATTGGGCTCCTATGGTAAATACCAACGAAATACCAGACAGGCTGTAGGAAGGAGTGCCATTGCATTTTAAATACATTTTCATTCAAGGTTACATACTTTAAAATAATTTGATGACTCAGGAAAACAAAACTTAGTACAAGAGATCTTCTTTCAAGTAGAACAATAGGTGGAAATGTTATGTATAAAAGCAGAAGACATTTTAGAGTATACACTAATCCATCCACAAAGCATTATGAAAAACATCAGCAAGAGATCTTGCTTATTACAACACCATCTATGGCAAATACTGCATGAGCATGATGCTTCTAACCCACATCACATGAAGAAACAAGCTGTGAGACAATCAGTGATGCATTTTTTTTATCTGATTCCACTGCACTGAAACAGTTGGGCTGAGAACAAATGATGGTGCAAACTTTTCCTCCAATTTTCTATACATAAATGATGCAATATTCCAACATGGTGGGTTTTTAAGTCAACATAACAGTCTTTATTGTAATACGGGCAATTCTTCCATGGGCTGAATTATCAAACATCAGGTGAACTGGTGTAATATTTGGAAAAACCATTTATTGGGACCTGTGTTTTTACCAGGACTCAGTAACCAGAAGCTTATTCATCTGTCCTTACATTCCTTGCAATTTCAAAACAATAGTGCTTCAGCCATGGCCAGTGCACTACCTGACAAATATGTTTACACAACAGATCATTAGCCACGGTGCACTGTTGAGTGGCCTTCACTATCAACAGACCTCCCTCCACTGCATTTCTTCTCTTGATGACACACAAAAGATCAAATATATGTGACATCATCTACTTACCTTTTAGATCTCTGTCATTAGATTACTATGCATGCAGTAGAACCATTTATTGGAAAAGAATATATATTGATGAACATGTGTAGATACTTTCTTGAATACAAATGTATACTACAATCAAAAGTCACCTTTTTGAACATCTCAATATTACTTGTATGCAATGTAAGTTCATTTGATTGTTTTATTTTATTGGCTGATTTTTATACAGTAGAGATGAAATATGTACAGTAATTTCTGGTAGATAAGCCATGGCTTAAACATGCTTCAAAGTTGAAAAAAATTTTTTTTTGTCTGCACCATATCTGAAGGAATTTTATTTTTCCCCTGTCCTTAAAACTTTCATAGTTTAGATCATTAGTTATGTACAAGTGAAACAGTTTATATAGAATTGGCAGCAACATTTTAGCCTCATGTGAGTGCTCAGATTGTGCTAAGGCACTGCAACAAATTCAAACTGGCATGGCGAATTCACCTAATTATGATAGGGTATGCTTGGTGTAAAGACACTGTAAACGATGTACTTTCTGCTGAACTCCATGTTTTGTCTGCGTTTTCCGATGACTTCCTTTTTAATGGCTAACTTTTATTTTGTCAAGTTCTGTGTTGATTCTTACACGTGTCTTACTGTTTTGTGGCTTGCTCATTGCTTACTTGTTACAGTGCTTATTTCATCACTCACACTTGTTTAATTTTTAAATTATCATTTTTATTATTACGGTTCCTATTCACAGAAAAAGTTATATAGCTTTTAAGCTTTTGGCAATTAAGAACATGATAGAAATCAGAAATCAGGCTGCAGCTAGAGAATTTCCAATTGACAAGGGATGCATCTGATAGTGGAAGTCTGAACAAGAAGAATTGAAAACGCCAAGAAAAGATCTTGTCGAACTAACATCATAGCCTGGCCTGTTTTGGAAGACAATTTAGAGACATGGACAACAGAGCAGAAAGAAAAGGGATTATCAGTGTCAAAAGTTGGAATTTGCCTTGAAGCAAAAATAATTACTCCACAAATAAGGATTAAAAACTTCGTTCGAGTACCTAACTGGTGTTTTGGGTTCATGAAATGAAAGAAGTTATCCATCAGGACCAAAACAGCATTTCGACAGAAGCTTCCCATGGACTGGCTTGGGAAAAAGGTAACTTTTTTTTGGAGATCTAAGAAAATTAAAGAAAATCTACATCTAAGAAATCTTTACATCTATGAAAATTAAAAAAGAAAATTTGAATAGAAGGCAAATAAATAATATTCATTCAACAGCTGAAAAAAACTATTTAAGTTTAAGAACCCAGAATGAAAAGACTTCTTTTGCTTTGTTTTCAGTTATGCTGCAAATTGAGATAAGTTAACCCCAAAGAAACATCTCTAAAGATGGCATTATTTGTGCCAGTGAAAAGGATAAATATGTAATGATGTGATGCTGTTTCAGATGAAAGAAATTTTTTAAAAGAGGAAAGGTGCTTTTTTTACAACCTTGGGGACTTATAATTTTTGATGGGGTAAAATCCAAAGCAAAAAACTTGGCACAAATGTCTCAATGATACAAAGTTGGTTTACAAAAATTTTACAGCCACTGGATCTCACCATAAATAGAATTCTAAAGAACGAACTATGAAAGCAGTGGGAGGAACAGATTGCAAAGTGGACTCCATTTCTTCACAAATTCTAGACAGATGAGAAAAACTTGTGGGTCCATAAAGCATGGCAATTAGTCCATGATGATATGATCACATTAGTTTTCATGAAAAATGAAAAAGAAAGCTTCATGAAAGAAGCTTTAATGAAAAAGAAAATAAAGATAGCACTGTTGAAAGAAGTAATTTAGAATAGAGTGATGAAAGACCTTGACAGTTATTTGTTAAGTTCATTTAATTTTGACATTGAGAACAGATTTTAAGTCAAATAAATAAATTTTAATTATAAAATTCTATTTGAATATCTAATTTATGCTTTCTTTTTCATAATATGGTAATTTATGAGGATAAACAGATATGATGATAAAAATAATAAAACAAATATTTTAAATATTAAAGCTTATATACACCAAATAACAAATACTGTGATAAGATAAAACTCATCACTTGGTCATGTCACATAAGGGGCTAAATGCATTATTTGTAAGAACAAAATTCGTTTTAGCCATTTATGTTGCTGAAACTTCTTCATTTACCTGAGATGGATTAACAAATAAATTTTATCTATTATTTATAGCATTTATATTATATTTTAGCAATTATTATTAACATTAACAATATTTTTAACACTAGGGCTTCTGCAGAAATTCAACTCTTAATTTCCCAAACATCCATAATGAAACAACATTTTCCTTGGCTAAACATAAAATTACAAATCAACAGAAATTAGCTGACAAGCTACTGGGAGATTACAGACAGACTTTAGCAATGATTTCTAACACAGTTTTAGCATCCAGGTTATGCCAAGGATGCTCAACCACTACAACAAATGCTAATGACATATTTATTGTTATGTGCCCAAAGGAACAGAACCTCAACTCTGACTCAACTGAGATCCTCCCTTGCTGCAGCCCTTTGGAAGGTTGATGTCAATGTCAACCATGCATAGAATCCTTCACGAAGGAAGTCTGTACGCGAGGTGATCACTCATTTGCGTGCCGCTCACATCATGCCATAGAAGGGAATGTTTGAGGTGGGTATGCCAAATATCCACTCGATAGTTGATCAATGGAGGGCTGTTCTCTTCAGGGATAAGTTCAGGTTTAGCCTCCAAAGTGAGAGTAAACATTATTTGATTTGGATAGGACCTGGAACATGTTAGCATCCATCAAACATTCATGAAAGAGTCTGTGATGAGGGTGGTATCTCCTTAGGTGGATGAACAGACATCCATGTTTTTCCACGTGGAACCATGAATGCTCAGGCCTATAGTGATGACATACTTGATTTTTATGTGCGCCCTTATGCTGGGATCTTCTATTTTAAAATTTTTAATTTTAACTTCCTTATTTAATTTATAAAAACTTAAGTTAATAATCTTATTTAATTCATAAAAATAAAATTTTAACTTAATACTGCACCTTAAAATATTTTTTTTTCATTAATTTCTACTATTTTTACCTTCAACTTAAACCACTTTAGCTCAAAGCTCAGCCCTTTAACTCCTTTTGCAAAAATTTCTCAGTCTTTTTAACAGTTAACTTACTTTGCGGTTCCCAACGCTTTTAGAAGAAGTTCTCCGTCAATCTGACAGTTAACCAGCTTCACGGTTCTCAATGGGAGGTTGGAGAACTCTTAGAAACATTTCTCCATCAATTCTACAGTTAACAAACTTCACGGTTCTCCGCGGGCGGTTGGAGAACTTTTCGCCTCAGCAGAATGGACTAACTCCCCCCCCCCAATTTCACCTCCTCGATACCAGTTTTTAGTCGCAAGGCTACTCCCCCCCGCTCATCCCCAAGGTATTAGCAATATCTGCGGTTTTCCTTATTACCTCACTTAAATTTCCCAGGCCTTGGAACAATATGTCTCCCGGCCGATTATCTTTCAACCTTTTCAATTCCATTAACGCTGTGCGTTCAGGAATTTGCCTTAACAATTACCTCTCTCTCTTTCAATTTTGTAAAACAAGTTGAAAGCTGAAAGAAATTTTCGTCCCTTGTGTGGACTTCTTATTCACTTCTCTTTTAACTAAACCCTTAATGGTTTCGTTCACTTCTCTTTAGCCATTGCTTTTTCTTAATTAATTCAGTTTTTTTAACGAAGTTGTGGAGGTAATTGCATTAATTTGCAAAGGTACACCGGAAGCCAACGCCTTGGGCCTTATGCTAAGGCAATAAGTAATAAGTTCCTGCTATAAAATGACAACGTTTGATCGCACAGGGCTTGCAGTGTGAATAATTATCTTCTACAACAAACAATTCAGCGCACAGAATCACCAGCTCGATCACCGGAAATGAAACCTACCAATTCGATTTGGGCTGCTTTAGGAAGACATGTAGCTGTTCTCAGTCCTCCTCTTCAAACCCTTGCCATGCTTGCAATTGCTTTGTAAGAGCAATGGCTCTCACTTTCTATGGAACTGATAGACTGTATAATTGACAGCATCACACATTGCTGTATATATTGTATTGCCTCTAGGAAGATCATGCTCCACACTGAAGGTAATTTTCCTATACCAAACTGACACATCTGATTTGTTCATTTTATACATTATCTATTTTCTATAACACCATAATTGTCTGATAATTTCTTTTCATGCTGTTTTATACTTTACTATGTGTTGTATACTCAGTTATATACATAAGTTATTTTATACTATACTATGTCATATATACTTGAGTCAGTTTTATTAAATTCTATTACTTTTTGAGAAATAGTCATTATTGTGATTTTTCCTTAACTAATGATAACCAGTGTAATTTTCAAATTAAGTATGAGTAACTTAGAAGTGTCAACATTTACAACAAAGTAAAAATATTATAAAAGTCAAATTTTCCAAACTCATTACTGCAAAACAAATGGAAGAAATGTATGTAGGAAATATGCACTCAATCCATTCAAAAAAAGTAAATATAGTTTAAAAATAAACACCAGGTTTAGGGGGGAATCATTCTGTAAAAGAAATTTTTTTAAGTACATCATTTATAATAAATATTATTCTGATAGTGTTCAAAATGAAACTACGAAGATCAGAATTTTTATTTCCCTGAACTTTTTCAAAAAGTGTTCTGATTTGGAGTTCTTACTTTCCCTGACCACTTTTTATTTCCAACAGTTTTCAGGCTTTTCCAGGTGAGTGGGAACCCTACATTATTTGGGTAGGCACATCAGTGTCTTGAAGAAGTTACATATCTAGCTTGATATTAGGTTTGATGACCTCATACAGCTTGGTATTTTTTTTATTTGATAAACTGTTTGTGGCTATGCTTCAGAAAAGCATCCGAATATTTTGATGTTCCTGATGCAACCTTCTGATGCATAGGTCATAATGCCTGATATTAACTTAATAAATTTTCTTTTTGTCTCAATTTCAAACTTTTTCCAATAATGCTGCTAGAACACTGCTGCAGCATTCACATTGTTACACACAGCTTCAATGTGATATCTAAAAAGGGTTTATCATCTAGATCAGGGCTTCTTAAACTATGGGTCGCGTAGCAAAATTCTGGGGTCGCGAGAGATTTTAATGTCAAATATTTATATATAATATATATATACCATTTTATAACATCACTAGAGTTGGCGGAATACAGTGGACTTGCAGCGTCTAGACACGCGCATTTGTTGAAGGTTTTGAGCTATCTCCACCGACAGCAGTAACGATCGATGATCGCTATATTTTATACTGTGGCTATACATTGTTAGTGGTTTGTCGGTATCATACATGTTGAATAAACGCTGACTTCCCACAAGGAGGAATGCGCGCGCATACACACGTGCAACCTGCAGCTAAACAATGATTCAATATACGCGCTGGCAAAGCATTAACCAAACCGGTCTGTGGGGCTCTTAAAAAGCACGCATAAATACTTGTAAAACCCGTTGAAAATTTGTGAATTTTTGCTTTTTAAGCGAATTTCATAACATTCCGTAACTCGCATTGACTAAACGCTTGTGTAAACTAGCCTACACTGACTGTAATGTGAATTAGTGGAGTGTTGACGCTCTTCTAGTGTGGTCAATTGTCAGTGTCCTCCGTAACAAGATTTTAGTTTTTTTTTAATTTATTCGTTAATTAAAAAATCAATTATTATCTGCAATATGTTATTTTTATATATTATTTTATTTTAGGATCAAATAATTTTTGGCCATGGATAAATGGTTGAACTTAAAGAAGAATGGTAATGATGCAGATGATAATGCTACAAACTCTTCTCAGGCAGACAAGTATTGGAAAACAGGCATCTAATGTGCGAAAAGAAAATATGATGAGTCCTTTTTCTTCAATTTGGCTTACATTTCAAAATTGTGAGGGTAATGAACAACCTCTTTGTTTGATCTGCATGAATTATGGCTTCGGAGTGTAAGAAACCATCAAAATTAAAAAGACATCTTGAATCAAAGCATCGTATGTCCAATAAACCAAAAGAATATTTGAAGACTGTTGAAATCTTTTAAATAAAGAAAAGAAAATCTTTGAAAAACTTATAACTGTTAATGAAAAAAGATTTACTAGCGTCATACGAAGTTTCATACTGTATTGCTAAAAATAAAAGCCGTTCACCATTGGAGAAGATCTTGTGTTACCTGCTGCTATTAAATGGTAGAAATACTACATGGAAGAAAAATATGGCGATGATATTTGAAAAATTCCTTGTCGAACGACACTGTCTCGAATAGAATTTCTGATATTAACAAGGATCAAGTAATACAACTTATTACAAGAATTAAGAAAGCCCAAAATTTTCAATTCATTTGGACGAACAACTGATATTACTAAATTGCTCAGTTGTTAGTATATGTCAGGTATGTTTATAAAGAAAGCGTGGAGGAAGAATTTGTTATTTTGTCTTCCTATGGAAGACTATACTACAGGAAAGACATATTGTAAAGTTGACGAAAATTTTAAAAGCAGAAGGTTTAGAATGGAAAAATTGCTGTGGAATATGCACAGATGGTGCAAGAGCGATGATGGGCAAAATATGGTTTTAAATCACTTTCAAGCTGCTCATTATGATCATATAACTTTTTTACTCACTGCCTTATTCACCGAGAGGCTCTTGCAGCAAAAAAATTACACCAGAATTGAACGATGTGCTTCAGGATGATGTTAAGATCATAAATTTATTAAGAGCCACACCCTTAACAGTCGCTTATTTTCAAATCTCTGTAAGGATCGGATTCCACTACACAACTTTGTTATTACATGCAGAAGTAAGATGGTTGTCAAGAGGTCAAAGTTTAAGAAGATTACTGTTATTAAAGGACGAGATCGAAATATTTTTAACCGAACGAAAATGTGAACTTGCTGCTTTTTTCAAAATGACTTATGGCTATCCAAGCTGTGTTATTTGTCAGATATTTTTGCGAAGTTAAACGATCTCAACTTGTCTCTTCAAGGAAAATATTGCGATATATTTACTTCAAATGATAAAATTGAAAGTTTTATTAAAAAGATCAACATTTGGGAAAGTAGGGTCGAAAAAATTCGTTCGAAATGTTTTTCCAGTGTCGACAATTTTGTAATCGAGAAAATTCATTGTAAAAATTTTATTGCAAAAATTATTGTAGATCACTTAAAAGCGCTAGAAATACAGTTCCGGACATATTTAAATAAAATATTGATTTCCAAAAATAGTTTGGATTCAAAAGCGTTTTGGATGGCATAAGTGAGATTGATCACCTGCCACTTAAGCTCAAGAGGAATTGCTGAGCTTTCGGTGACTCAAACTTAAAACACAATTTCAAAAAAATTTGACTGAATCTGGATCGGAACTAGAACTGAATTCCCACAATCGCTGATATGGCGTTAAATGTACTTCTGCCATTCAACACACATATTTATGTGAAGCTACTTTCTCAGCTTTAACACATAAAATCCCAATATCGTTCACGTTTAAAAAATGTTGATGAGGTCTTACGTCCAGCAGTTTCAAACATTCCACCAAGATTTGATTTGTTACGCAATAAAAAACGGCACATCCATCTCATTAAAATTTTTTACTTATACTTTATTTTAATACTTCCACGCAACTACTTGAATATATTCGATAGAATTAAGACGGTCAGAATCCACTTTTATTTTTGAACTATAATAAATACAATTTATAATTTTGTGGAATTTTTAATTTTTTTTGTATGTTTCAAAACGAATGCTAAACTTATATTTTCATATGTATATGTATATTGTTACCTAATAAATATCATCAAAAATATTAATTTATTTTCTTTTATATTTGTATGGGGTCGTCAAGAAACTCGCAATCATAAACGGGGTCGTGAATGACAAAAGTTTAAGAAGCTCTGATCTAGATCATAGTTTTCCAACCTTTATGGGCCACTGCTATTGATTTTATCTACCACATTGAATGATTATTATTCTACAAGCAGAAATAGGCTCCAACTGATCAATAAGTAGTTTTTGTAAATTCAGAATATCTAAAACACATTTTACTTACGTTGCTTGCCCGGTACATATGTGAGCTTGGAAGTGATTTTCTGATTCAAAAGGCCGCATGCAACCAGCACAAACAAGCTGAATCATCTCCGTTGGGTTTGAGTCAATAGATTCTTCAGCTTGCTCAATTTGTATTTCTTCTACTTGTTGATTCATATCTACATGGGTGCCCCTACCCATCATGTGTGAAACACTCTTTCGACCTAAGAATTAAAATTTTACAACATAATGATATACAGATACACACAATTAAATTAATTTATACAGGTATACAATTTCTATTTTACAAATAAGCAATAGTATAAATTTGATATTTATAAAATAATGAAAAATATACCTCGAGAAGAAGGTATTTGCAAAGGTGCTCTATCATCATGTATCTTCATGTGGCTTTCTAATGTTTTCTTCTTAAAGAAACCTAGAATCATTCATAGAATTTATTAAAATAAGTAAAAATAATAAATAAATAATACAATACACCACTCAGAAAACCTGACACCCTTTTCTTGAAACTACATACAGAATACTAAAAATGCTATAGATTAATATTAGTTAAGCTCATAATAAAAAAAGAAGAAAAACAATCTCACAAGCATAATAACAATAAACTAATTCTTCCTTTGTAGTGAGCTAATAATAATAATAATAAATAAAAAGAAAAAATCTGAAGGCTTTCAGATTTTCCATTAAGCCCAAAAGAGTGTTTCTTTAATGTTTTGTGTGCTACTTTATTTATTAAATATATGTTCTTTGACTTAAAACATAAAATTCAATTCAACAGCAATATCACAAAATAATTTTAAAATGAGCAAATCTTTAGAATTTCCAATACACAGTCTCACACGCTGGAGATAAAAATGCCCCCCCCTTACAGTGTTGCCATTGCTCGCTTTGAAATCGTGGAATTTGTTAATAAAAAATTTGTAAGAGTGTTACAAAATATGAAATCGATAATAAAACAAATTTCAAATTCAAAATTTGGGCTTTCAGATGACCATATTCGCTAGAAGATTATGTTATTCAAAATGTGATGGCTCTAGGTACCCGATGTTTTATCCCAATGCGAGAAACCTACATACATTTATGGAGATTCTTCATTATTTAATTTCTTTAAATATAACACAGAGTGATAACATTTGGTGGCAACAATTTTAGTGAACTGACATTTATAATGAATCAACGCAAAATGCCAAAACCAAATTAATAGTCCTTCAGGGCAAATGGTCCCTTTGGGCTTAATATAAATTAATATGATACTTTGCCTTCTTTGTCAAAAATTACACAAAATCTTTATTTAAATCATTGTTTTAGCTTCAATTGCAATGATTTTAATAATACTTTAATAATTTTGATAATACAACTTTAATAAAAAGTTCACTAGTGCCTTAAATTTTCTAAAAACTCTTTTCTTTTCCTTACAAATTGAATTTGAATTAGTAATATTATTTAAAATACCCAAGAAATAAATGGCCAGATTTACTATTTAGGTAAACAGCATAAGACAGGGTTACACTATTTTGGTTACTATTCCATTTTGAGGATCGTAAAAAATCGCCAAGGTATTGTTGATGACTGTGCTGCCAAAAATAATTGTGGCAATCCTAATGTAAAAAAGGAAGTATAATAGTAAATAACTATCTAAAGATTATTGTTTTAATTTAGATGAAAGGTTAAATTCATATAATACGTTTTTATTATTATAATTTGTATAAAAAAGACTAAACATAACTGAATGGAAGGATAAGAGTAAATAACTATTGCAGGTCATTATTATAATTTATATAAAAAAAGGCTAAACATAATTGAATGGATTCCTGCATCACTGTTTTGCTACCGAGTTATCGCTAAATTATAATTTCATCTCATTGGTTGTTCAAACATAATTTTCTAGAATGAATTATGCCTTTTCTTCGAAAAAATTCTACTGCAGACTTTTCATGACTGGGCAATTCCCAAATTGTTACATCCACAGCATTATCAAAAAAGGATTTAAAAATTAAACTAGTATTTCAATGGCGTCTTAAGAAATATAGAACTATATCTAAACTTATGCAATTTGAAATCAGCGCGTACACTAGATTTGGGACGCTAGATTTAGAACAGAGCTCACGCTGTTAAATGGGCGCATTTGCTAGATTTGGCGCTTTTACGTATACATTTTCGCTGCAATTTTTTTATGGTCTTCAAAACGGAATAGTACTCTATTTTGTACACATAAATCCTAATCTTAAAATAGAACAGATATAAACCTTCCCAATATTTTCAATTTCTGATTTCTTCAATTACTTAAAATTAATTTCTTTAATCTTGAAAACGAAACAAAAATTATCAAATATTTTATGCAAAAACGACCAAAAGGAAAGAAAACTGAAAAACTCCTGTTTCATAAAACAGAAATAATGATGGATTTTCCCCACATTCTCAAAAAAAAAAAAAAAAAAAACTTTATCTATAGCTATGATTGTAATTTGTTCAATTGGTGGAAAAAATCAGACTGATATATACATACACACACACACAAACACACTGACAGAAAAAATAATCCCAACACCAAGCAGAAATTCATATATAATAATGAAATTTCACAAATGCATTTGTCTAAGTAACATATCTAATTGATTACATTTTCAAGATCACAGAAACACAAGAGCCATTTGGAATGTGAAATGCTTGCACATTAACAATTAATGTAACAACCTGAATTTTGAATGCAAGCATGCAAATGTACATTGTGCAGGGGGGGGGGAAGAGAAAAGAAACAGGGACAGTTCTATATCTCCCGTTCTACTGGGCCCTTTGACAAAATTCAAATTGCATTTTTCATTTTTCAAAAGTGCGACTTTGGATATATATTAGATTTATATATAGCATTGTTTTAACATAGATATTTTGACACAAACTCTGACTTTTTCTGAAATAACATACCAATTTGTTTCCATATTTCGATTCTAAGACTCAGATTATGCCTAAATATTAAATTTTGTAAAATCCGGTGCGAAATTTACAGAGAGAGAACTTCAAAAATTTATCTTGGCACATCTTTTTCAGTTTGCGCCAAGAATAATTTAATTGGTGAATTTCTTAATACGTGGCTATCTATTTTCTGTTCCCTTTCATTATACAGGAGTGGAAAAAAAAAGTCACATTGTCCCTACCTTTTTACATTGTGCATGAGCAGAAAAAGTCACATTGTTCCTAATTTGAAAAAATTTTAACAAAGTGCCTAAAACACTTTGATGATGTTTTTTCAAAAAATCAATAAAAATTATTTAAAAATGCAAATAAAAAAATCATAAAAATTGGGCAAATTTTATTTGGAATTAACCTAAATTTCGAAATATGAAAGGAAGAATCAAATAAGTTTAATAAAAAAAGAAAGAATAATAAATATATAATAAATTCCATTAAGACCGAGGAGCTAAAATTTTGAGAAATAATTTTTTTAAAACAATGCGTGCAATGTTTTACAAAATTTGGCAATTTGGTGTAATTTGAGTTGTAGAATCGAAATATAAAGGGGGAAAAAAAAAAAAAAAAAAAGGGCACGTCATTTCAGAAAAAGTCAGATATTGTGTCAAAATACCTATATTATAAAAAATGCTAAATATAAATCTAATACATATCCAAGGTCAAGCTTCTGAGATATGGAAAACTCCAGTTGAATTTCATTAAACGGCCCAGTAGGACGGGAGATATAGAACTGCCCCTTTTTTTGTGCAGTGTATATGCATTGTATGTACAAGTGCCAGATGTCAGTTTGTGGGATCAAGTTCCATGACTGTGGTACTTGGTCAGTAAATATAGGGATGATTAATGCTAGTTGCGGATGATGCTGGAGTCGACGTCCAATGACATCCCATATGTACTCAGATGGAGAGAGATCTAGTGATCTAGGAGGCCAAAGCAATATGTTGACACTCTGGAGAGCATGTTGGTAGCATTATTCTGTTTGAAAACACCCCCTTGAATGCTTTTCATGAACGACAACAGTATAGGTTGAATCACTGTTGCACAAATTTGCAGTCAGGGTGCAGGAGATTTCCATGAGAGAGCTCTAGCTGCCATACAAAACTGCTCCCCAGACCATAACTCCAGGTGTAGGTCTAGGGTGCTCATGCCACAGAGGTTGGTTGCAGGCACTCACCTGGCCTCCTTCTAATTAACATACACCTATCACTGGCACCAAAGCAGAACTGGCTTTCACGAGGAAACACAAAAAATCTCCTCTCCTTTCTCCAATAAACTTTAGCTTAACACTACTGGCATTGCAAACAGCAGTGGTTTGAAGTCAGAAGAATGCAAGCTGCAAGGCATGTAGCTCAGAGCTGTCCTTCACATAACTGATTTGTTACAGTTCGTTGTGTTACCAACTGCAGCTTGAATTTCTACTCCAGATGCAGTACAATGTTCCACAGCCATGAGCTAAGTATGGCAGTCTTCCCTCTCAGTAGTGCTACACTGCCACCTGGAACCCAGTCTTCTGGAGCCAGTACCTTCCCTAGACCACTGCTGCAAATAATCTTGCACAGTGGATACATTCCTGCCAAGTCATTCTGGAATATCGCAGAAAGAAAATTCTTTTCTTATAAGAGAGCTTAAATTGTGCTGGAGCCCGGCTCCGGTACTTCTCAGTTTTTGAGATAAATTATAATTTCAGCTGGAACGCATCGGAGTTCCAAATAAAAAAGGTTCGACACTTCTTTCATGTAAGTGAACCACAATTTTAGCACACAAATTTTGTTTTAATAGTAAATATGCCTTAAAAATCAATTCTAACTTCTGAATGCAGGCTTGTCTTTCCCTCGCACTCAAGCCTTGCACAGAAGTCGAGACTTTTAAGGAAAATAAAGCCCCCAATCATATGTCAATAGCTTATTCTCCAGGATATGCAATGAATTTATAAGAGCGGGTAAATTTGTATTATTCAAAGAAATAAAAGAGATACCCAGTCGCTAGTGGCTTTCTACTGCAGAGCTCCTACAGACATTTTGAATGATGTAACCAAAATGCTGCCGCTTGTACAAAGAAGTCTTATGCTTATTCTCATATTGTATTCAGGAAAATTTATTCAGGGAAAATTTCTGTTTGACGGATAGAATTACGTCAACAGGGCATCACAAATAGAAAGAGCTAAACTCTTCTCTCTTCATTTTTGAAACTACACTTATAGAGACATTAGGTTACTTTGAAGCAAGAGAGATGAAAAATGAGCAATGCCCTTGCCGGAACTTGAATCACAAACCCCTTGGACTCGTGCAGAACGTGCTGACCACCACGCTACGAAGGCATGCTAAGAAGGTGGAAGAAATACCTTATGTGCTCCTCCTTTTAAAGGGTGACTGAGTTTTAGGGAACCCAATCGCCAAACCCTGGCGATGAAGAATTATCATCACGACCTTTTAGTTTGGGCGCCACTGTCCAGACATTAGGTTATTTTGAAGCAAGAGAGATGAAAAATGAGCAATGCTCTCGCCGGGACTCGAACCACGAACCTCTCGAATTCACGTTGAACGTGCTGACCACTACACCACGAATGCATGGCTAAGAAGGCGGGAGAAATACTTTGTACACTTTTCCGTTAAATTTCTTTCCATATCCTCATACTGTTTCTAGAAATCTCACTATTCTCCTTAGTGGAGCTTCAATCATTTTATCTTTTTTTACTTAGTGTGCAAAAAAAGTGTGGTACCAGTTATCCTTTGTAATAGAACATTATATGTATAATCGGGACTTAAACTCAGACGGAGATCAGCTGAGCTGCTTCTTAGCATCAAATTGGAATTGTGAATACAGCCGATGCCCGATACTTTTTTTCAAGTATCGAGGGCGGCCGAGCGGTAATGTCGCTGAACACTGGTAGTTCGGTCTGAGGTTCGAATCCCACAAACGGGCTGACTGCATGGGTCTTTTCATAGTTTCCCCCATGTGTAATGTGCATACGAGCCAGTTTCCTTTTAACCTTTTAACTGTCAAGTTATTTTGAAGATTTGGGTGCATAAATTGTCAATTTTTTTTATTCCAAAAATGAAAGTTTGCCTCGCAATTAAAAAAATAAATAAATAAATAAAAAAGCTGCACACTTTGAACTTTAACCTCTATCCTTTGAAACATTCAGTAAAGCCCTGCCATCTGTTGAATTGAAGCTGTTCTCACAATATATATTCAGGCATAACAATACGATGCACTAAAAAAAAAATTAGCCCTAGTAATGTTCGGGCTTGACATTTTGGAATATCAGTGCTGTGCCCGAGGTTATTTCGGACATGACAGTTAAAAGGTTAAAAGTCCTCCACGAAAGCATCCTCTCTCAAGGCAGATAGCCCTCGAGTGCTTTGCCATAATCTAATAAACCAAACCAAGTATCAAGGAAAGTCCAAGGTCTGATATGTTCCCCCCCTCAAGTATCAAGAAAAGTCACTTCACTGAGTCATTCCCTGATATCAGAGCAAATGTTCTTCCGATTGTGTTTTTGCTCTTGAGGTTCCAAAAAAAACCTGTCTCATGAACAAACTTTTGTTATGTTTAACTGATCGTGCAAAATTTGTCTTACTGTCTCTTTGTTAATGTCTACCATGTCTGTGATCATCTGAATGCTCAGATGTCGGGATTTCCGCATAATTTCATTAATTTTTTGAACCTTTGCTTCCGCTCTTGAACTCACAGATCGACCGGGACCATCTTCAGCCTCTTCTCAACTTTCTGAAAACCATTTGTGCAATTCAAAAACTTGCGCACGTTATCACCAAACACCTTCTTTAACATACGAAAACATTCTGTTGCAACCATTTTTAATTTACAAGGACTTTAAATGTGCTGGATTTTTAAGTTCACCATGAACATGGCACTACTACAGAACAACATCCTCTACAACCAATACATAAAAGCAAGCTAAAGCAGACAGAAAGATTAAATGAATAATGGCTGCTCTTGACAGTTAAGGTCAATTGCATTCCAATACCAACCACCTCCCATTCAGCTGTGTGACAGGATGTGCACAATCTTGTTATATAATTGCCTCACCTAATATGTATTAGAAATTCAGCCAGACCCCCCCCCAAAAAAAAAGATAAATCATCATAAAGAAACCATAAAAATAAATTTTCCAATAATTCTGTTCAAGTTTCAATTTCGAATGATCTTTGATTTTATGGAATAGTGATATCTTTCAGCTTTCCAATACAATCGTTGAAATATGATCATGTTTCTTTACATTAACAATATAAAATTATTATTAAAGTAAAAACATAGCAAATATAAAATATAATGTGCAAACCTTTATTGCAGATTGTACATTTAAAATCTGTATCCCCTCTGTGCATTCGTAAATGGTTAAACAATCCAACTTTTGTAGCTAGTTTTCTATTACATCCTTCCCAAGGACAAGGAGTTGGTGGACTGAAAAGCATAAACACATATATTAGGAACTACAAGACTATTTACCTTAAACTTTTAATGATGATCAATGAACTCAGCTCATATTATAGTTATACATCACAGTTAGCACAAATAAACATAGCTTGCATTACAAATTTATAAATGACAAATATATCACACAGTTGGGGAGCGGGAAATTCATTAATTTTGCAATGGCCGAAGGGTTAATTATTGATAAAAAATAATAAAAGAAACTCTAGACAAGAAAAACATACATTCTGCAGATTTTTAAGCATTGTTCATACTTTAAACATTTTAAACTGGAACTTGTTTTCTCTTGATCTTTAATCCGTGGCTCCTATTAATCATTACAAACTTTCTTACAACTTATGTAACGTTCTTTTGGCACTTCATTGTTATGAGCCACAATAAAATTTTCTACACTGGACATATTTAATCACATCATCTTTTTAAAGACTTTAATCAGCTTAAGGCTTAATAATTATTAAAAGAAAAATGAAATAAAGAGATATTTGAGAATTTATTTTCAAAGCAACTAGAAATATGTTTATCTTCTAATTCTTTTGAAAGTCATGCAATCTGAAGCAAACAAATATAGAAACTTTTCAATTCATAAACAGAAGAAAATTTATTTATCTGTTGGTTATAACTTTGATAGACTCATGCATCAAAAGTGTGATTTTTAATCTGGTTCCAAAAATTAAAATAAAGTAAATTTTTATAACATAAACTTTTATTTCAAACTCATAAGATACTTTATATATTTTAATGGGAACAAGAGATTAAACAATTCTCTTCCCAAAATTCATCTACAATTTCATATCACTAATAATAAATGTGTGCGGTGCTCTCAATGAGCTTATAAAGAAAATAGTTTTAGAAAATGCAATTTGATTCAATTTCATTATTTAAGTGCCCAGGTTTGTATTAATCATGATAATAAAACTGTAGATGAATTTTGTACACAGAATTATTTAACCTATTATTCATTAAACTATATGATAAATTATTTATCTCCTTTTGGTTCATAAACTATGAGTTTTAAATAAAAGCTTACTTAAACTTTCAATTTTTTCATTTAATTATTTTTTATTCTGAATTACACATTATCAATTAAATTATTCAATTAAAAATATTTTTAATAAAAAAATCATTTTTAATTTTCATCTTTATGACACATTACCAATCAATTTATTCAACAAAATATAATCACTCTTTTACTTCCAACTAGTTACTTCAAACTGTTGAAAATATTCTCACAATTTTGCCAAAAAATAAGAAATTATGTTAAAAATCTCATATCATATTTCATTTAAAAGATTTCCCCTCCCCCACTCTAAAAGATGGAGGGGGGGAGAGGAACAGAAAAATTGAGTTTTTTTTTAGTTTGCTCATTAAACGAACATATGGAGCGGTGCATTAAATTTAAAAAAATCACTTTATCATATTGTACTGTTATAAAAAAATTAGGAAGTTGTTTAATTTGCATTTTTGTCTATCTATAAAGAAAAAGGGGGAAAGAAATTATAAAACGACACAAGGCATGACAGTAAGCTTAATTTCTTTGCAAGTCATTTTATAGCAAGGGAAGCGAGATTAAATAAATAAATAAAATCGGTATAAGAGACAGCAATATAGAAGAAAGAGGGAGGGAAACAGTCCAACTGAATCACCTCTCGCCAAAAAAAAAAAAAAAAAAAAAAAAAAGCATTATAATTTCCTCTAGTGCAAAAAATCAATTAAAAAATAGTTTAATAATATTGCACTGTCACAAATAAACAGGCAATAGCTTATCAGAAAGTACACTCAGAAATACTGAAAACGGCACACCAAGAAGGAACAAAGATACAAACATGAAATCTTACAAATAAGTACGAGATTCAATAATCAAATAATCCAAGTGTGGGGAAATATGCATGACCACACATTCAGTGGTGCTGCAATCAGGAAGAGGGCCCTATATAAACTACTACATAGGCGAAGAACCTTAACCCCTTCGCGCCGGGTAGCGCAAACGCGCGCTTATCACAGAGGCCGGCAGTGTCTTACGTGAGCGTCTGTCCAGGGCCGGGGGCTTTTTGCAAGCCTATCCATGAACTTTCCGAAGTATCATGCCTGTTAATAATGTTCATAGAGTATTTAAGCTTATGCTTTTAGATTTTATATATACTTTAATATTTCGGGGGGGGTAATGTTACCCGCGTCCGTGATTATCCTTAAGTCAGACGTGCCCTCTGGGTGGTGCTAAATGGGTAACTGTCACAAAGTCCTGTGGCATACTGGGGTTCAGTGGGATGAGGTTGGGTCTGATGATGAGTAATCTTATGACGACCCAACGGACCGCTCTTCCCTGGGAAAACCAACGATTGTGGGGAGGATTTGAAATTCCGAGGACCTTTGATCTGGAGAGGAGGGGTCTTGGAGGAAGCAGCCATGTAGAGGATACAGGAGAAAAGCTGAGTTTTGCGTCTCAGGCCGCCAGATAGTACAGGAAGCCCGGGGCAGCCTAACCAGCATGTCCTGGCTGCTCTATCAGCTGGTGTATAATCTCGCCTGCCTTGTAGTTCCAGGTGGTGCCTGGGTGGGGTCCTGCATGGCAGAGCGGGGGGCTCTTCCGAGGTCACTACTGGCTGCTGAATCTGGGGCTAGCCCCTCCAAACTGGCTCTTAGAAAATCGGAAGGAATTTTTCTCCCCCTTCCTTCAATCTTATACCAAAATGGATGCTTGTAATACAAAATTAGATAAAAACGCATCTTCTGAAATCCCCACTATAACCACTGTAATTCCTTCTGAGGGAGTGAATGTACCCTCGGGTGCGGACGCTCTTCTCTTTAGGACTACAGAAACCAGAACCGCTGGTGAAAGGGTGAATGTGCCTTCGGACACGGACGCCTTGAACCCAGTGGGGATGGATACTGACTCCTCTGTCAGAAGTACTGTGCCAGATGCGCAAGCGGATGACCAGTCACCAATGATGGAGGTTGTAAATAAAAGAAGAGAAAAAAAAAAAAGGCAACGCCAGAAAGAGCGGAAACGACTGGAGAGGGCCATGGAAGGAATCTCGATCTCTGGGGAGAAGGGAGCGAAGAGAAAACAGATAAAGCTGGGACCTCTGGAGCAACCTCCAAACCGGTGAGGAAGAACCATCCAAGCAATGAAGAGTCTCGTAAGAGAGAACGCATTGCTGGTGACACCCCGGAAATGGCCCTCAAGAAACGACGGCTATATAGTCAAGCTGCAAGAAAGGCAATCACTCTGCGAATCGTCTGCAAGGATGATTCCAGAGACATAACATCGGTGGATTCAGATTTCATCACCTCTATAATTGATGATCGAATTATAGATGGCTCTATCACCACCTGCAGGGTCCACAAGACAGTCCTGCAGCCGAATGGCCTCAACATTGCATGTGAGGACCAGGAGACTGTGGACGTCCTGAAGACTTTAATTAATGATCTACCCGGCCCTGAAGAAAAACCATCCAGGTTATCATGCCATGGCTCCCGGAGACAGACCCCCCATGAAGAGGTTTTTCGCTTGGTTTCCTGGAAACAGGTCACCAAAAGATAACATCAAGCTCCTTGATGCCTGCAACAAGGGCCTTGATGTTAAGAAGATCGCCATCAAGGCAGTTATCCCTGGAGACGGAGGTAATACCTTGGTGCTGGGAGTAGAACATGAACTTATGGATTATCTGGAGGCCCAGAATTTCAAACTTTTTTGTGGTGCCCGTGGCTGTGTACAGTTGAAGGAACCAAGGCAACAGGAGAAATCAATTCCTTCGCCCAGGGATCCTCCAAAGAAACAGTTGACGGAAGAGAAAGGGAGACCGAAAAGGAGTCGGAACCAGAGCTTTCTTTGGAGGCTCTGGAGAAGACACCTGAATAGGTCTCCCTTGTCACTACTTCCTTTGAAGTAGTATGCTAAGGATGCGGCTTTTAACTAAGTCTCTCCTAAAATCCTTCAGGGTAAGTTCTTTTCTTTCATTTAACCTGTTTTAATGGTTAAGGTTAGTCAGTTAAACTTGCAACATAGCAGAGCAGCTTCATATAATTTAGCTGCTCAATTAGGTAAGCAAGACACTTTTGTTGCATTAATTCAAGAACCTTGGGTGTACAAGGGTAAAATCCTTGGTAGGCCCATGAACGCGCACTTCTTTTCGACAGAGGGACCTGATAAAAGACCTAGAACTAGCATTTACATTTCTAAAAATATAAAGGCTATGAAATTATCCCAATTTACATCAGAGGACTTAACTGCTATTGTAATTAAGGACATAAACAGTTCACTGAGAGGAAACATTTGTTTTTGCTCAGTTTACATGGCTTATGACCTTAACATTCCGCAAGAATTTATAGATCTTGTGAGCTTCTGTGAAATAAACAATATTTCCATGGTTATTAGTGGTGATGTTAACGCTCACCACCTGTCATGGGGCAGTTCTGATACTAATCCTAGAGGAGAAAAACTCATGGAATTTATAATGAATACCAACCTAACTTGGGTAAATAGGGGAAATCGCGCCCCACCTTTGTTAACAGAGAAGAGAGAAGAAGTCATTGACCTCACATTAACTTCATCTGATATTTATAACCTTATTGAGAATTGGCATGTAAGTGACAATCCCTCACTTTCTGACCATCGCCTTATACAATTTTGTATTAGAGATGAAATTCCAGTTGAATATTTCAGAAACATTAAAAACACAAATTGGGACCTTTATAAGGATTTCCTGGTTTCTAATGTTATTAACCTTCAGGTTTTAGACAATAATTGTACAGTCGAGGAGCTTGATATTCAAGCAAACAACTTGACAAATATCATTATTGAATCTTATCATGCATCATCATGCCCTCTCAAACGAAGGAAGTACTCTCCTAGCAAGAGAGTTTGGTGGACCAAGGAGCTTGAAAGCCTCCGCCTAGAGGTTCGGAGAGCGCACAGGAAAGCTGTCAGAAATAAATCTGAAGTTAACTGGTCTAACTTCAAAATTCTACAA